AATATTAGCTATAGAAAAGACAATTTCCGTACTATTCGTCAAACCGGAAGTTGATAGCTAAACTACTTCCGGTTTACGTTTTTCAAGATTTCTTGAATAAAATCGGAAAATAACTCATTGCAGACTCTGGTAGTCTTTTATTTATAACGAATTAACACTCTTATAGACGTTTACTACTTGTGTGTACTCTTTTCAAGTAGTAAATAGGTAAGAATAGAACATATTTATGGAAGGAGAARTACTAACTGTCTGTGTATAAAGAGGAGCTGAGATTTATAAATTTATGCTTGAAATCAATGTAAATCATTATGTATATCTTTAAAATAATGCAAAATTAAAGAAACAAATGAAAAATAAAATCTCAAGTGTTGCAGATGTTGTTTTGATTGGTCTTCCTGTGTCTAAATGAGCCTGCAGTCCAGTAGTTCCTAATCCAATATGGCGTACTTCACGTGTTGAGATCTCTTCAAATCCTGTAAGTATAYATACTTTAGTAGCTCATACAGTTTATCAGTGAGTTATTTAACACTAACACAAGGTCTATCTTATATAAAGTGATTTCAAAACTTGACTTTCAGTGAAACTCTTCGCATAATCTTGGTATATAAATCTTCGTATGAGCAGAACGACTTGAGTGAAAAATCTCCGTTTAATTATCGTAAAATGAAGGGCTAATAATTGGTAAGTATTCACATGAAGGTGTACTGAGGCTTGTTTCAAGAATCAAGGAATCACAGAACACTAATAATAGCTTTCTTCTAAGGTCGGCTTTGAAGAAAACTACTACCTGCTATAACAGGAGCCGAGTCCTTAATCAATCCAGGTGGGAGGTCGTCGATTCCCGTAGCTTTTGATCTTTTAACTGATTTTAAAAGCCTTTCGACGTCCCTTTGATTTACAGGTTCAAATTCAAAATTTATTTCGACTTCAGTTCTCTTTCGAGTCAATGCAGGTAGACGCCATATGAAGTTCCTCAGAGGAATTGTTTTTTCTTTCAGAGCAGAAATTGTTGTGGTGAAGAATGAGCAGAAGCCATTGGAAATTTTTGAGGGATCACTTGTCTTAATACCATGGAATTGAAATGATCGCGCTGCACATGACTTCTCAGATTTATTAGGATATATGGATTTGAGAGTCTTCCAGAACTTTGATGTATTGGAGGATTTTCGGCCTTAGCTCTTCGTATTTCAATATTTACTTCATTGCGTTTTTTCTTATATTCTATTCCATCAGAGCCTAATTTGTCTTTACGATATTTACGAAGTAATTGATCCCTTTGATTCATAAGTGCCTTGACAACAGATGTTAACCAAGGAGCTGGTTTGCCTTTAACTTTTTTCACTATCTTTGGGGCATGTCGGTTAAACACGGATTCGAGGCAGTTTTTCATAAAATTCCAAGCTACATTAACATTTGTTGATAAAAATACTGGTGACCAATCGAGATTGCGAAGTTCATTTCTCAGCGATTCAGGATCATAATTTTTATAATCCCGACAGTTTATCACCCTTGAGTTAAATTTCCTTGAATTATTTTTCCTAACACAGCCAACCATTTCGTGGTCAACAATAGACGTTGGAATTACCCCAGAATCACGCAAATTTTCAGCACAGTTTGTGGCGATGACATCAATGAGACTTTTTGAAACTTCAGTAATTCTAGTTGGTTCTTTAATTATTTGCTTTAGGCCATGTAGATTCAAAATGGATTTAAATTCTTTGTTATCTCCTGGGACCAAGTAGTTGACATTTACATCTCCCAGTAAGATAATTTCTTTACATTCTTTTGATGCCAGAGAAAGCATTCCATCAAGCTCTTTATTGAAGTTACGGTTGAGATGATTTGATGAATCAGGAGGAGGATACATTATGCAAATTAAAAACTTTCTTGCCAAATTTGGTTGAATTTCAATCCAAATACTTTCAACATTTTTGTTTTCCAAATCGTTACGACGTTCCCACTGAATTTCATCAGATATATAGGCTGCCAATCATGACAGTTTACCCAAATCCCTCATTTAACACCCAAAGAAGCACGCAATCGAAATTCATTGAAAAAACTGCCGCACTTTCGAAATTTTCAATCTTAAAAATCACTAAATTTCATGCCTTCCACCATGTCTGACATGATAACGATATTTAACTGAGCGTATAAAAAAAAATCCTATATAATTAAACTATTACAACGCAAACATATTATTTAGAAGGTATCTCATCTGATAAAACATAAGTTGTTTATAGTAGATTATAGTGTGTAATTTATTTATGCCGCGCACAATATTTTATGGGTCTCCATGCAATTTCATGGCCCGTAAGGACCCAAAACTGAGGGGGGTGGTGATATCTTGGGAACCAAAATCTCGTCGAGCTTGATAATTGGTCGATCGTAATCTTATCAGATACCTATCAAATGGTATTAATATGAAGAGAATCGGCCGAACCCATCTTTTATCCACTCTGCCCGGTTTTCTCAGACAATGACTCTTAATAGATGTCTATTAAATAGAATAACATACGATAATATACTTTTTTGCTCGAGCAAGAACAGACTAAAAAAATTAGTACATCGCTATTTAATTCCATAGCGAAAAGATTTATAAAAAATCGAGCAACAACACTTTAATTAATGAAAAATAAATGTCGAATAGAAGAATATCTGAATAACTAAATATCGGATAATATCAAATATCGGGCTGGTAAAAGAAGGAAAAGAGAGGTATCTATTAAGGTATGTAATATATTTCTAATAGAGAAAAATAAACATAATCTATTAAGGTATCTAGTGAATGATTTATATGCGAGAGTATCTATTGATAACTATCATCGGATATTTGATATTCCGTCGATACCGCGCATAACTCAAATTTCAGAGACCTCGAGACGTCAGCCTTTTAGAATTGTTTTCGAAAGTATTCGTTTACGCCCGTCATCACGAAAGCGCGTAAACGGCGTTTTCAAAAATATACACTTTGGAAAGCGTTTTCGTAAAAACGTTTGACGGTTAGCGTTTTTGTCATTTACGCGTGGAAGGAAGTGCGCTAAACGCATCAAAAATTACGCGTTTACGAAAGATTACTTTATACGTGTGGGCGTGGTGTAATGCTTTTCATTCAACAAACAAATGTTCTCATTTATCAAGGGGAAATTCTATTTCGTTCCGGTATTTCTCGCTATAAGCGATTGAAACATAAAGGTTGATTTCAATTTTAAAATAAAGGAATTCAATGCAAACTACTTGTTCTTAAAATTGCAATGACACAATCTTTTTTCGTCATTTACGTGTGTAAGAAAGTGCGCTAAACGCATCAAAAATTACGCGTTTACGAACGAATACATCTTTTGTATTTAATTTCTTCGGCCTCGAATATAAGATTATTTTGAAAGGGGTCTACAAACTTATGGACAGACGGGTGAATGGATGGATGAACTGTGAGAAAAACTGTGTTAAAAGTTACAAACTTCAATGTAAATAGAATAAAAAGAGATCAGTGATAAGGAAAATCGATAGAAGGATGGATGAATGTGTGAATGGATAACCACCATATCTACTGACCTAGCTTCTTTCGCCCATATACTTCCACACGTAGTGCTTTCCATACTTTGTACTTTGTTGGTATAAACCTTATAAATCTGGCGTCAACTGGACTGTCTAGGACATTGGTCTTCACAGCATTTTCGTCTGTATTACCGTGAAAAAGCTGAAAAAAGAAAATTATATTGTGGGTAATAAAGGAATAACTGATAAATATTAGGTATAGAGCACTTTAGAATCGAACAAGAAAATGGGGCGAGAATTGTCACTTGAAAAAGCATCTCAAGATTAGTCTTGAAAATTTGAACATGATTGGATGAAACGAACCATAATCATTAATTGTTTCAAAAGTGTTGAAAATTTACACAGAATGTATGGTTCGCGGAAAACTTGTCCCTTGTAAAAGTACATTCTTCGTAAAAAAATTGACATTACTAGCGACTAGGTCGCCATTGTCCAAGCCACGTTGAGGTATCCACTGAGTAAATAAGTAATTAGATTGTTTAATCTACTTTTCGTCGTTCCTTTTAGTTTATTTTGACGATGACTGATAATGATGAAAATAAACAGGAGCGCCGAAAGTCTTCTCTGTGATACTAAAATCCTCAGCAACTGTTTAATGGCAGCCACCAGCTATTACAGTTGTGCGTCCCGTCCCCGAGGGAATCTGACATTTTAAGGATTGTTCCCTATTAATTTTAATCGATTCTTTGCTCTACAATTATATGTTATTTTTTATTCGTAAATGCTATACAAAATACGCTGTATCTTACACTGAATTATTTCATTGATCACATATTAAAATGCATCTTGCGTAGAAAAAACCCTAGAAACTAGAATGTTCTTGTTTATTGACGTCATCACTCATTATGACGTCGAAAGCCAAATAAAAACCTAGGTTTTTTATGAGAACATAGATTTTTCCAAGTCCGCCTGTTCTTATATAAATTGTGCTTAACTTGAAATCAGGCTATCTTGGTTCTTAAATGGGTTCTCAAGTTTTGGTAAGAAAATGAGTACTTGTATTGGTGGGCGTGGCATTTTTTACATTAAATAATTCAGGTAGTAATTTAATTAATTAATCATATCCCTTTGTAATCACTACCAAATCCTGCAATCTGATTTGTTCAAAGGAGTGCAATTAATAACAAAATCATTAATCGCAAATCTTTTTGAAAGAACCAATATAACAGAACAGAATTCTTATATTCAGCTAATCAGAGAAGGGAATTATTAGCATTATTATGATTATTTAATAATTTGCTGATAAATCGTTTATTTTATACCAGGAAAAACCTGATTGATTTACTTCTTCTTCTACTTTAAATTGATCATTCTGCAATCTTTATTGTGTCTTTTTCTTGTGTATGATTACAAAAAGGAAATGATTAAGTGGTAACTGAACTTCGTGTCGTGCAAGTTGGACCGAAATCATACTTTCAATTAACAAATTGCACTCTACRCGGTCGTGCAATTTTGTAATCACACGTATGATTTTGATCCTTATAGTACACTCAACAAAATTACTCGACTCTGATTGGTCGAGAGGAGTACAATTATAGCGTTAATTGTACTCCGTAGGAGTACYGAATTAAGTCGCTATGGCAACACGGCCAAAACAATGTCAAAACAATTATTTTCTATCATTTTGTACTTAAAAAACACATAAATAAAATTTTAAAGCCGTAAGAACTAATCTTTTTTATGCATTTCAGTTGCGCGATGGACTGAAAATCGGCCGCCAAACAGAAAAAGATGAACGGCGTCGCTCCGCATTTTTTACACTGAAATTTTGTTGAGTGAACTATAAACAAAAAATC